GCGGGCACTGCGGAGGCTGCTGTTTTCCTACAGATGACTAGCTGTGCTGCCACATGGCATTCTCAGGCCCGCATCCCTTCGTAGGCACGTTCAGGTAGCTAAACCTACAAACATCGCCCTGTGCTGACGCTGTCGGGAACTCGATGGCAGTGAACCTGTGCTCTGACCTGGCCATCATCCTTGACACCATCCCCGACGGCCAAATGGAGACCGACCAGCCCCACATACCTTGGCATAGGGTGCAAGGTAATCGAGGGCTGTAACGTGCAACCGGAACTTGTGGGTCTTGGTGAACTTCCCAAAACACGTCCCCAGTGACACTAGCTTATCCCCGGAGATGTTGGCTGCCAGCTTCAGGATCATCTCACTACAAGGTGGAGGGAGGAAGGAACCCGGTGACGGCGGCCGAAGGACCCAGGCCTCCAGCCGGGTACTGCGCGGCGCGCACCAAGCCCCACCTCACCTCACATAGTACACGCGGTCGTCGTGCAGCCGGAAGCAGTAGGTGCCGTCGGGCCTGTCCACCAGGAGCTGCAGGTTCTCCCCGATGCTGAGGGCAGAAAAGAAGACTGGAGGCCACGCCGGAACCGGCCCGTCCCGGTGCCGCGGCCCCGCTCCCCGCTCGCCCGTCCCTCGCCCGCCTCTCGGGTTCCTACTATTTCGCAATCTTCTCAAACATGACTCGGGTCTCCTCTTCCGTCAGGGGCCGCATTTTCCCACCGGCTGGGCTCCCGGGACCCTCGTGCCGGGAGAGGTGGAGACGGAAGTCACCTTCCCCCGCTTCCTGGCACCGCCAACGCGTGCCTTTCTAGCCCGACGCCACGTGTTCTTTGAGCTAGGGCCACCTAGCTGGGAGGACCTCCGGGGACCGGAAAGCCGGCTGGGTGAGAAACCATAGAGAAAGGAACTCTTTCCCCCCACTGCTTCCGGTCCCAGGCGCGAAACCAGCGCCCTCCCGGGTCTGGAGAGAGGAAGTGACGGCGCTGCTGCTCGGAGGATGGCGGCTGCTGTGACTCTCCCGTCCTCCGGTCCGGCTTCGGCCACGGCGACAGCCACCGCCGCCGCGCTGGGGGAGGTCGAAGATGAAGGGCTCCTGGCGTCGCTGTTCCGAGACCGCTTCCCCGAGGCCCAGTGGCGTGAGCGACCCGACGTGGGCCGCTACCTCCGGGAGCTGAGCGGCTCGGGGCTGGACCGGCTGCGCCGCGAGCCCGAGCGCTTGGCGGAGGAGCGGGCCCAGCTGCTGCAGCAGACGCGCGACCTGGCCTTCGCCAACTACAAGACGTTCATTCGCGGGGCCGAGTGCACCGAGCGCATCCACCGGCTCTTTGGCGACGTGGAGACGTCCCTCGGGCACCTGCTCGACCGCTTGCCCGGCTTTCAGCAGAGCTGCAGGTGCGGCCGGCCTGATGCCGACAGGCCCAGTATCTGTGACCCACAGGATGCTAGGCGTAGCTGAGCCATACGGGGAGCACAGAGCTCTCTCCCGGCGCCTTATGAATCCACTTAGATTTCCCCCACAGCTGTCTAGGTAGGTAGGCCGTTGTTATTTTACAGACGGGGAAGCCGAAGTGGCTTGTCCAAGAACACAGCTAGTAAGTTACCAAAGTCAGAATTGGAAGCCAGGAGTCCACCACTCCCCCATAGGCTGTTGTGTTGAATGATGATAAGAATCCAGCCAGTCTTGTGGACACAAGCTGTGATTCCAGCACTTGAAGCGCAAGCTCATCATCCAAGTGTGAGTGTTGAGTTCGGGCCATCCTGAGCTACATGAGACATTGTATCAAAACAAAACCAAACAAAAATCTGTGTAAAGCAGTTCATTGGGCCCGACATAGTTAACACTATATAAATGTCAGCTTAATATATATGCACCTTTATAATTAGGAATGTTCAACAGATTGGGCTGGAGGCTATCGGCTTTGAAACTTCCATTGATATGAGGCTAAGTGACATGGAAATCCTATTTGGGAACATCATAGGTCGTCAAAAAAGTTTCCTTTTTGAGCTATATTGCCTTCCTAGGTCCTCAATCTAATACCTTAGTTCTCCTATCCAGCCTTATGTGATTCTAGCTCGGTTTTCCTTTAGAGCTTTTGGATATTTAAAACAGCTTTTGTACCCTCTGTGCCTGAAAAGAGATTCAGGACTTCATAAAGCCAGTTTCTGGAATTACTTTAGAGAAGTAGAGAAAGTTAAAGAGGAAGAGCAAAGGTTGGACGGCAGGCAGCACGTTACATTAAGGCCTGAGGGGATCTTAGGGCAAGCGTGTGCCTTGGAGGCTAGTTAGGACTCCATTAGGAAAATATTAATAGCTATTAAAAATATGTGTATGAGTGTTTTGCCGGTGTGTGTGTCTGAGCACCATGTGTGCCCAAGGATGACAGAAGGGGGTGTCGGATTCCCGTGGGAGTGGAGTGGTTACGAGCTACTTGATATGTGTGCTGGGACCTGAACCTGAGTCCCTGCAAGAGCAGCAACTGCTGGCTGTCTCTGCAGCTCCAGTAATGGCTAGTGAGGAATTTGTCTACTCTTTCTATACATTTACTTTGTGTCAGGTCCTGTGCACTTCATAAAGGTCTTCTTTTTTTTTCCCTCCAAGACAAGGTTTCTCTGTGTAGCCCTGGCTGTCCTGGAACTCCCTTTGTAGACCAGGCTGGCCTCGAACTCAGAGATCTGCCCGCCTCTGCCTCCCGAGTGCTGGGATTAAAGGGGTGGGACACCGCTGCCACCCAGCCTCATACATGTCATCTTACGTGTCTCTAACTTGCATGCCTTTGTGAGATGGGTCTTCTTACTATTTAACCAATAAAGAGACAGGTCCAGAGAGGCCAAGTGTCTTGCCATAACTAGTCCTTCTTCATGAGATCCAGAGCAGTTCAGTCCCAAATGTGACAGTCCTTGCAGCCAGTCCAGATCTACAAGCCATTTTAAAAGTTACGTGGAGGGAGATGAGTGCCGCCAAGTGCACTGTAGGAGTGGGTTCTCTCCTTCCAGTATGTGGGATCTGGGGATCAGACTCAGGTCAGTAGGCTTGTTGGCAGGTACCAGGCACCCTTACCCACTGAGCCATCTTGATGACTCCATGTAAGCCATCGATTAATGATGATGATAAAGTTTCTTAAACCTTGAGTTAAAGGTTTCTTCAAGGGGCTAGAAAGATGGCTCAGTGGTTAAGAGCACTGGCTGCTCTTCCAGAGAACCCAGGTTCAACTCCCAGCACCCACATGGCAGCTCGAAACTGTCTATAACTCCAGTTCCAGGGGATCTGACACCCTCACACCAATGCACATAAAGTATTAAAATTTTTTCTTGGGCTGGAGAGATAGATGGCTTAGAGGTTAGAAGCACTGACTGCTCTTCCAGAAGTCCTCAGTTCAATTCCCAGCAACCACATGGTGGCTCACAACCATCTGTAATGAGATCTGGTGCTCTCTTCTGTCATGCAGATGTACATGCAGACAGAGTACTCTACACAAAATAAATTTTAAAAATTAAAAAAAAAATTTTTTTTCTTTAGCCAGGTGGTAGTGGTGCATGCCTTTGATCCCAGCACTTGGGAGGCAGAGTCAGGCAGATCTCTGTGAGTTTAAGGCCAGCCTTGTCTACAACGAGAGTTCCAGGATAGCTAGGGCTATGCACAAAAACCCTGTTTCAAAAAAACAACAACAAAAATCTTCAAGTATAATAGGAGTTATAGGTTTGATGTGAGGATTTTTAGACTGGTTCTTCCTATGTATCCCTGGCTGGTCTGTAACTCACTATGTAGGTAAAGGTAGCCATGAACTCATATCAGCCTCAGCCTCTGGAAGGCTGGGAATCAGGGAGTATACCATCACACCCAGCCCTGTGTGAAGACTTTAAATAAACCAGGTAAACCATCAAGCCAGTGCCCAGTAAATGCTTGGTAACTACCTAGTGTGCAAAACAATGAGATCTGTTTTCCTAATTGGTTCTAGGAACTTTGTGAAGGAGGCCGAGGAGATCAGCTCCAACCGGCGGATGAACACCCTGACTCTAAACCGGCACACAGAAATCCTGGAGATTTTAGAAATTCCCCAGCTTATGGACACTTGTGTCCGAAACAGCTACTATGAAGAGGCCCTGGAGCTTGCTGCCTATGTACGACGTCTGGAAAGGAAATACTCCTCCATCCCTGTCATCCAGGTAGCCAACTTGCCCAGAGGGCCTTCAAGCTGGTGATCTTGTAATTATTAGTTTGGTGATTGTGACTAAGCTTTTAAGTAGAAGCCTTTGCATATTTCTTACCAATTTCTGCCAGCCAGGTAAGCTGAACAGAAGATACTGGCTCTCTCATTCAGAGATCTTTTTTGTTGTTGTTTGTTTTTTGAGACAGGGTTTCTTTGTGTAGTCCTGGCTTTCCTGGAACTCACTCTAGACCAGGCTGACCTCAAACTCACAGAGATCCACCTGCCCCTCCCTCCCTAGTGCTGGGATTAAAGGTGAGCACCACTACCACCCAGACAAAAATCATATTATTCATGTGCCAGACACTAACTTAGATACTAGGAATACCATGTGAACAAAGCATTCAAGACCATGGCTCTCATGAAATTTCTGTTGTAGTGAATGTCTGATAATTGACAAATAATAATATTGCGGATATTGGTAGTAAATACCTGAAATAAGCCAGAGAAAGCCAGGCAGGCATGATGGGGTGTGCCTGTAAACCCAGCACCTGGAAGGTAGAGATGAGGCTCAATCAGGAGTTCAAGGCCATCCTTAACTACTTAGTGAGTTTGAATCCAGCTTGCTGAGATTATCTCAAAAAACCAAAAGTAAAGTGAACTGGGGACTAGGGTAGAGGCTGGTTATAGAGTACTGCTTTGCTGGCATGGTCAGGATGAGAAAGAACTGGCACTTGAAGGTCTAGGGAGACAGCAAAACAAGAAGTAGGAGAAGTAACACAGGGTGAGGTGGAAAGAAGTTGGAGTATTTCAGGAGTCGCAGACCAGGCACTCTTACTGCACTATCATGAGAAAGGCGGGCGTTAGGAAGCAGGCCTGGAGATCGTGGTGAGTAGTTGGGAGTTTGTTGATTGTGATGGGAAATCCTAGGAGGATTTCTGAGCAAGAGAATTAGTTATGCAAGCAGATCTCTGTAAACCTGCAGGTGTAAGCTTAGAAACCCACTGTATGTCAGGAAAGCCATAAGAATGTTGGCCTCCAGTGTCCAGGGTTAGCTGGATGGGTTCCAAAGTATTTTTCCCAGTGTGTTGTGACTCAGTGTATCTGTATTGTCAGGGCATTGTGAATGAAGTGCACCAGTCCATGCAGCTGATGCTAAGCCAACTAATCCAGCAACTGAGGACCAACATCCAGCTCCCGGCCTGCCTGCGTGTCATTGGCTATCTTCGGCGCATGGATGTCTTCACTGAGGCTGAGCTGAGGGTGAAGTTTCTTCAGGCCCGGGATGCTTGGCTTCGCTCCATCCTGACTGTTATCCCTAATGATGATCCTTATTTCCATATCACAAAAACCATTGAGGCCTGCCGGGTCCACCTCTTTGATATCATCACCCAGTACCGTGCCATCTTCTCAGATGAGGACCCCTTGCTGCCACCTGCCATGGGAGAGTATACTGTGAATGAGAGTGCCATCTTCCATGGCTGGGTGCTGCAGAAAATCTCACAGTTCCTGCAGGTGCTAGAGACTGACCTTAACCGGGGTATAGGTGGTCGCTTGGACTCTCTGCTGGGCCAGTGCATGTACTTTGGGCTGTCCTTTAGCCGAGTGGGGGCTGATTTCCGGGGCCAGTTGGCTCCTGTTTTCCAGAGGGTGGCCATCAACACTTTCCAGAAAGCAGTTGAGGACGCCGTGGAGAAATTCCAGGATGAAAT